GCTGAAATCCCCGAACAATAGCAATCATCAAAAAGGGTATCCCGAACAACATTATGCCGATGTTTAATACCCACGATACCAGCACACGACACCGCGTGATCACCGAAAATATCCCCAGGAAAAACCCTTGAACAAGCAGAGCACGGCGTCGAGACAAAGAACAATGGAACACCTAGCCGGTAGCACAACACACATCAGTATGTCTTAGAGTTCATCGTCTGACCCAATCCTGAAATAGGGACCGCTCGAAGCCAAGCAGAGGTGTGATCTCCCTGCTGTGATTTCCACAATGCTGATTGCCCAGGAGATAACGAATAAGCGAATTCTGCAGAAGTGGTAACCTTTGTGAAATATATATCTGCCAATTTCTTCATGAGTTTAGGGGCAGCAACCTCACTAGGATTACTCATCAGACTCCACCATTCCATTAAACAGACTCAACGCGTCTTCAAAGGCTCGTCCAAGATCAACAATGTTAGCATGACGTAAAAGCTTTGTCTGCAACCCAGCAGATAAAAGCATAATGACAAACATCACCTGCGGAATAAACACCAAGCCCTCCAAACGCAAATGGTAAGGTGGCAAGCCGCCACTGTCAATCGCCAAAACCAGGTCCCGAAGCAGTAACAATGTGCGCCGAGCCGCCTCAAAAGTACTAGGAGGACAAGTACGCAATGCAAAGTAAAAAAAACTCCAGTACATGCCCTAAGTAACGACAGCTCACACTGAGGATCATCAAGCATAACAATAAGGGCGGGTGGTGAAATTGATTCCAATATCATCTTAAATTAGAAGAGAAACTCTAATCACCTGAGCTATCCCTTATTCTCATCATGTTTAAGTTGTTGAAAGTACGAATTACAAAGTTGGCTTCTAAAGAGTATTTTGTATATATGACGTAAAATAGAATTACTCTCTTCTTCCGTTCTTTTTCATTCAATTCTTTTTATTATTTATATAACTGTGTTTTTATTAATTTTCTTACTTTTGTTTTATTTATTATTTTTATGAAAATATATTTATTTCTGTATTCACTAACTTTTGTTTTCACTAATTATCTATGTTCATTAATTTATTGTGTTACAATAGATAGAAAAAATAAAATTTAAAACAAAAAAATCAAAGATGTACCTAACGTGGGTAATAAATTTTAAAACATACATATGTTAACTCAACTGAAATTATCTAAATTTATTTTAGCTATAAATTGAAATTGAATAGTTTTTCTCAACCTAACTATTTAAGCTTATTCTAATTTAAATTGTTTTTTCATGAAATAAGTGAAAATAAGTTGAACATAATAAGACTTATAGATGCTAATGCTATGGGTGACAATATCACCCTAAACCCGATGGATAATCGTCCACCCAATCCAAATATATGGATGAAAACCCAAACTTAAGTGGATGCATGTTATACGAATGATGGATGGATTGAGTCGAATTTGGGTGAAGATTCATCCAACCCATCATTCGCCCCATCCATCCATTCGTTGAAATATTTTTTTAATCTAGAATTTAATTATGAATGTGAAAAATGTATTATATACTTTTACTTCACCTAATTCATCCATGAATGATGGATGGATTGGATGTGGATGAAGGCAAATTAGATCAATGATGGATGGATTGGGTGACGGATGGATCATTAGCGGACGAGCATCACCCGAACCGCCTCCGATCCATTGCCACCCCTAGTTAATGTCATACGTGGATTCTTTAATTATAAATAGAGACCATACATGGAGTCTTAATAAATAGAGCCAAAGAAGTTTATATTATAATGCTTCTAAAACAAACTTATAGCTATATTTATGAATTTTAAAAGCAACAATGTAAAATAAGAAGGAAAAATACACTTTAATAATCCCAACTATGGGTGATTTATTTCTAATAATCCCAACTAAGATTTATTATCTAATAATCCCAACTATGGGGTCACTTTGCTATTAATAGTCCCAACCGGTCAACAAGTGGTCAACAACCTTCTATTATAGGTTACCAAGACACGTGATTGGTCTAAAATTAAAAAATAAAAATAAAAAAAAAGAAAAAAAAATTAAATAAGAAAAAAAAACCCAAAAATCCTAACAGTTTCCTCCCTTCCGCCACCATGGCACCCAAAGCTCAAACCCTAGCTTATCGGAAAACGGCCAGCCGCCTGCGCTAACCCACGAAAACGGCCGGCCAACCCCTCCCAACCCCCAAAACCACCTTAGCCGGCCCACCCGCACCCCCCAAACCACCCTCATCCCTTTCCCGGCCCTCGAAAACAACTCCACTCGCTTCCCTTACCGTCAAAATCGCTCTCCCTCCCTTCCCCAACACCCAAAAACGGCCCCCTGGGCGGTTTTGTGGGTGGGGGAAGCGAGGGAGATCGACAATTAAGGTTTTTTTTTTTTTTCTATTTTCCGGCAGGGTCGGGATGGGAGGGGGTGGTTTTGGGGGTGGGGATGGACGGGCTAGGTTATTTTGGGAGTAGGAAGTGCCCGCCGATGAGTTCTAGGGGTTAGGGGAAGTCGCTAGCCAGTTCTCGGTGGCCTAGAGTTGGGCCCTAGGGTATTATGGTGTTTTGGGCCCTAGGGTATTACCGTGTTTTGGGGTTTTTTTTACAGTATTTTGGGGTATTACAGTGTTTAGGGTTGGGCCCTAGGGCCCACTTAGCCTGGGAAGGTGTTTTGGGGTTTTTTTTAAAAAAAAATTTAAAAAAAAAATTAATTTTTTTAATTTTGGAGCAATTACATGTTGACATGTGGAAAATTTTTTTATTTTTATTTTTTTTAAATTACCCTTTTAGCAGGCTACTGGTAATTGGGGCTACTAGAGGCAAAGTGACCCCATAGTTGGGATTATTAGATAATAAACCTTAGTTGGGATTATTAGAAGTAAATCTGCCATAGTTGGGATTATTAAAGTGTATTTTTCCAAATAAGAAACCTTGCATGTATAAATAGATGATGTTTTTCCCCTCGCCTTATTGTTTACTTATTTCAAGTCTAAATTTCCCTCTAAATGACATATGCCCCTTATATGCATCCCAAAAAAGGCATGGGACAGGCTAAGTGGGATAAATGGAGTAGCAAGGTAAATCTTAATCTATATATTTAGTACAAAAATGAAGTTTTAAAAAGAAAAGCATATGCACACTTGTGATTTATATGTTAAGAAAAAATAGTCGTGTGATATTATGATAAATCATTAAGTACTTAGAATTTTTATTAGTATATAAAAAATATTAGTAGTATAAAATATGCATTGGTTAGCATGAAACTTCAAACGTTGCAAATAAAAAAAGAATTGATGATGTACATAGTATAATTTTATAATTTTTTATTTTTTTTACTAGTTGTTGGACCCTGCGAAGCGCCTTCGTTGCCCAAGCTTGGCATAACTTAAATGCGATAAATCGTATTAATCCCCAACATTGTGAGTTCTATCCACATTTTCATCCGTTCTTTTTCTTTTCTATTTTTCTTTTTTGAATTTTACTCTTTCATATTATTCTTTTTTATAACAATACATACTGTACTATTTGTTTTGTGGTAAAAAAAAAAACTTTAATTTTATAATAACAAAAAGAAAAAACAATTCAGAACAAATTACATAGAATCAATAAAAAAAAATGAATAAATAAATCAAACACAACTTATTAACCAAATTTAAACATCTAACCCTGACAATCATTTTTCAATAATCCCTAATAATCTCTGTTGCAGAATTCTTCACAGTTTGATATCTTTCTTTCTCTCCAAATTAGATAAGCAATGGTGACACTCATCCTGAAAAAAGTTGACTTTTAGCATTAGAATGATACTAAGAAATTAGAATTCACAACTTTGAGTCATAGTTACTAGGAAATTGTTGAATTCCTATCCATTGCAGAATAGTTGATCAAATAGCAGAAAAGAATTCACATTGAAAGAACAAATGCTTGATGGTTTCAGCCTCTTTCTCACAAAGAATACACAATTAGTCACGTTGAACACCAATCTTAGGAATTAAGATTATCACAGGCTAAAAATAATAAACCACATTATAATACTTTACAAAATTAAAGTAATCGTAGTAAACTAGTTATTCATTGTAATATAAGAAATAAATCGTTAATATTTGAATTATGAATTAAGCTACCTTATATATTATATAAATGGAAGTTTTAAAGTCCTACATTTTTTAAAAAGGTGAAATATTATTATCATTCCCACAAAACAAACATAATTGTTTACTGTACCAAATCTAATCATTTTATGAAAGATAATATACAAATAATTCCCCCATTTATTTCTAGTTGCTACATTTTGGATTTGAATACTATTCACATAAATTACCTTGAGCTTCTTTTTTGATTTATGCTTAAGAAAATTCAAAATCATATGAGTTCATGTTACATTTGTTGAAATATGTTTTCAAAATATAAATTTTTTTCTTATTAATAATGAAAGAGATGGAGTATTGTGATTTTAAATAATAAATACTCAAGTACACTTAAATAAAGTGTCAACTAATAGAGATAACAAAGGAAATATAATCACATATTTTTTTTTCTTAAGAACTTATATTTATGCAATAAAATAATGAACATATCAAATGCATATACACCAACATATTAAAGTTAGTTATTGTCAAAAAAAAAAAAAAAAAAAAAAAAAAAAAACCTTTTATATTAAAGTTAGGTAGAGAACAAGATATGAGGAGTAAAATACTTCCACAAAGCTATCAACTAATTTGACTTTTAACATAAAACTTTACTACACAATATGCATATATACTCACAAATTGAAAACACTATATTTGGCAACAAAAAAGAAACTAACTAAATTATCAAAACTCTAATCATTATTTGACCCCTCTAAACCCCATAAAACCAAATCTCATTCCATAAGCAATAATAAAAATCAATACCATAAGATACCAAATCAAAGTGAAAAAAAAAAGGAAAAAGTTGATATTATAATCTAATTGTACTACAGCCCCTAAATAATTCATTACATTACATAATTTTTTTTTTTTTTTTTCCTTTTTTGTGAGTGGGTGAAGAAAAGAAAAAAAAATAAAAAATCCACCCAATAAATAGTGAAAAATATTGACCCACTCACTCCTCACCCAATCATCTTTTCCCCTTATCTTCTCTCTCTAAAATTTTCTCTCTCTAAAACTCAACCTCTTTCTCTTCATCTTCTTCCTCCTCTTCCTAATCTTTTGACTCAGATCCCATCTTTCTCTCTCCTCCATTTTCACTCTCTTCTTCTTCAGATCTTCAATCTTCTGCAACTTTTTCTCAGATCTAACAATGGAGCAAGAATCCCCAGCAAAAACCCACCTCAAATCCACCTTAAAAACCACCCCATTTTCCACCCTTTGCTCCTCTTCCTTCCCAGAAGAAGTTCTCGAACATGTTCTCTCCTTCATTGAGTCACACTCCGACCTAAACTCTGTCTCACTCGTTTGCAAAGCTTGGTATGAGATCGAACGATGGTGTCGTCGTCGGATCTTCATCGGAAATTGCTACGCTGTTAGCCCTTCGATTGTAATCCGACGGTTCAGAGACATCCGATCTGTTACTATTAAAGGAAAGCCTCATTTTGCTGACTTTAATCTTGTTCCTGAAGGTTGGGGTGGTCACGCTTTGCCGTGGATCGCTGCGTTTTCGGACGCTTTTCCGGCGTTGGAGGAGCTTCGGATGAAGAGGATGGTTGTTACTGATGAAGCTCTTGAGTTGATTGGGAAAAAATGGCGGAATTTTAAGGTTTTGGTTTTGTGCTCTTGTGAAGGGTTTTCTACTGATGGTTTAGCTTCTATTGCTGCTAATTGCAGGTGGGTTTTTGTTAGATCTTTCTGGGTTTTCCTAATTTTTGCTGATTTGTTTAAAGTTTTCTGCATTTTTAACGGTCATTTCTGGGTTTGACTGTTAATTTTACTTTAATTAATTGATTAGTTAGAATTAATTGTGTGATTTTAGTTTGTGGGTTTTGTTTAATTTTATCTGGGTGTTTTAATTTGGTGGATTTTTTTGATGATTTAGTTTTAATTTGCAGTACTTTAGTTCAGTTGAGTATACTTTTGGTATTTGTTTACTTTATATTTTTTTCATCATTTCAAGTAATTGACTATTGCTGTTGAATTGGGTTCTTTTGTGTATTGTATATGGATTTAAGATTTGACTTTGAGCTTTTTTTAATGTCAACTTTAGCTGCTAGATTTGTTGCTTCTGTTGAAATTCATGGTTGGTTTAGTGATTATCTTCAAATGAGATTATGCTATTTTGGTTATATTTGGACTTTATTGTAGTGGATTATTCAGAGAAGAAGACCATTTCCAAGATTGTAGCTGTTGATATAATTACATAGCTTCTGTTTCAGGCTTGGATTATCGAAATCGCTGTCTCCTTGATTATGCAGGAAATAAATCAGTTTTTTGTTCCTTAATTATCACTTAAGATCTGATTTTGTTGTTGATATCAATTATAGCTTCCTGGTCCAACCCCTGGCTTTGTTTTTCGGCGAAATTTGTGGAAATGAAGCATTTTTGGATCTTAAATGCTGATTAGGAGACTTGATATTTTGGCTATTGGTATAAATTAAGCTCCTTGGTTCTGTTTAATTAGTTGTTAAGTATATTTATACTTAATTATTCAGTATACATATAACTTGAATTTTACTGCTTTATCTGCTGAATTTTGTGCGGCTTTCAGAAGCTCTATAATTATCTTTATAAAAGATTTTGTGGTTCTGTACTAGTACCACTGATCTAAGGCTGAAAAAAGAAAAAGGTGAGTCATCATCCGTTGGTATCATTGTCTAATGTGGTACCTTCAATAATGGCGTGAAGAAAGATTTGGATGTTTATGGGGTTGGACCACACAGTATATCTCTTTCTCTATCTCTCTGGGCAAGCATAGTTGCTTTCTATTTTGGATGGGGGTGATTGCTATGTTTGATCAATGCGCGATTTCATGCGTGTTAATTACTATGTGTATTCTTTCTCTATGCTACAATGCCTACAATACTTGTGAAGAGGAAGTCTCATGCTCCTTTTCAGTTATCCGAAATTGCTATACCTTCTGTCCGATTTAACTGTCACATCAGTCGTTCATGTTATTACATTATTATCATGACTATTAAATTTGTTACATGGTGGGATTATTTTTCTTCTACATTTTTTGTGGGATCTTTCGGTATCTGATAAACTATTTTTTTTTATTTTGGTTGGTTTCTTATGTCTAAATGCAATAAGAATATAGAATATCTATGCATGGGTGATTCTTAAGATTTTGAATTTATATTTAAGCTTTGGGTTATCTGAGTTGGGTCTGCATGGAAAGTCACTATCTGATATTGCCTTTACTTTGGCTTCTTTTTCTTTGTTTTATGGTCCACTATATTATGTGGTTTGTTTTCAGTTTTGGATGGTTGTATTTTGGACACTGCAGGTCCCCTTTGAGATGCTGGGTTTATTTTTATTTATTTGTTTTTGCCTTTGGGTTCCTTTATCTTTTCTATGGATTCTAAAAAATAATATGTAATTGCTTGAACTTTGTGGAGTTGCTTTTCTTGCTGATGTATCACAACATCTGCCCATGAAGTCGATCGGATTCTGCTGCTGATTCCTAGGCTGTGTGAATATCTCCTATCTTCATTCTTGATGATGATATAATATCCAATAATTATGCTATGCTTCTTTTAACCGCTAGCTTAAGCTTGCAGATTGTTGTGTTTCCTCTTATTCTAACTTTATATAATAAGCTTGAATATTGAGATCTAATGATTGTTTTTGTGACTTGTCTAATATTTACAGGAATTTGAAAACTCTGGACTTATGCGAAAGTGAAGTTGATGATTCAAGTGGGAATTGGATAAGCCATTTTCCGGATACTTATACCTCATTAGAATCTCTGAATGTCGCCTGCCTCATCTCAGAGCTGCGATTCTCTTCTCTTGAGCGTTTGGTGAGCAGATGCCCAAACCTCAAATCGCTCAGGCTCAATCGTGCAGTGCCTCTGGACAAGCTCTCAGTTCTTTTGGAGAAGGCTCCTCAGTTGGTTGACTTTGGCTCTGGTTCATTTTTGACTGAGCTCAACACTGAAGGCCATGATAAAATTACTAGGGCTTTTGCAGGATGTAAAGGGCTGAAGGGGCTATCTGGGCTCTTTGATGTCGTCCCTACTTATCTTCCCGCCCTATATCCTGTCTGCTCGGGGCTCACTTCTTTGAATCTGAGTTACGCCACTATTCACTCCCCTGATCTGATCAAACTTCTCAGTCACTGTCAGAGTCTTCAACGTCTTTGGGTATATTTTAACTTGATAACATCTTTTTATGTATTTTGGAATCATTGTTGTGACTTATTGGCTGATTGCAACTCATGTTTTCAAAGCTGCTGAAATGGAATTGAATCCACCCTTCACTTTAGTTTTCTTAAAAATTAAGGAGGTAGAATATTGCAAGTGGCTAAAAATATGGGGTGGGTTTAGGCAAGATTTTAATAATCATAAAAAAAAAAGACATTATGCATCATGATACCTCTTTTTACTATCAGGAACATAAAGGACATTATTTGGATACTCTCTAATCTATGATCAATGCAGGTACTTGATTACATTGAAGATAGTGGCCTTGAAGTGCTTGCAGAATCATGTAAGGATCTGCGGGAGCTACGCGTCTTCCCTTCCGAGCCTTATGTTCAAGAACCAAATGTTTGCCTAACAGAGCAAGGCCTGGTATCAGTCGCCATGGGTTGTCCTCAACTGCAATCTGTTCTTTATTTTTGCCGTCAAATGTCCAACGAAGCATTATTCACCATTGCGAAAAATCGCCCCAACCTTACCCGCTTCCGTCTATGCATCATTGAGCCCCAGTGCCCAGACTACTTAACAAACCAACCACTAGACGAGGGTTTTGGGGCCATTGTCGAGCACTGCAAGGACCTCCGCCGCCTTTCATTGTCTGGTCTCCTCACTGATCGTGTTTTTGAGCTCATGGGGACCCATGCCAAGAAACTCGAGATGCTTTCCTTGGCATTTGCCGGAGACAGTGATGTGGGTTTACATCATGTTTTATCAGGGTGCAAGGACCTTAGGAAGCTCGAGATTAGGGATTGCCCATTTGGTGGAAGAGCGCTTGTGGCGAATGCAGCCAAGTTGGAGACAATGCGATCCCTTTGGATGTCTTCGTGCCAAGTGAGCTACGGGGATTGTAAACTGCTTGGCCAGAAGATGCCGAGGTTGAATGTGGAGGTTATGGATGAAAGGGGGCACCCTGAATCAAGGCCTGATGAATCCCCCGTTGAGAAGCTTTACATCTACCGGTCAGTTGTTGGACCCAGATTGGACTCTCCGGAATTTGTTTGGACTATGGGTGAAGAAGAAGACTCAGCATCAGCAATGAGGGTCTCGGCCCTTGTTGAATCAGGTTTAGAGTGGCTGCACGCCACTTCAGATGGCTAATCGGATGTTTTAGTGCCGATTGGGAAGATATATCTGGGAGGGTAGGGATGTATGTTTATTGATTGTTTGTGTACTAGTATGGTGTAGCTAGGATAGAGGACGCGGTTTCATCTTGTTGATCAGCGAAACCTTTAAAATTTGTATGTATACTAGGGCTCATGGTGATCACATTCATTTCATTTCATTATTCAATGTAACTGAATAATTCAATCTTCAATAACTTTTGCAAAGTATGCAAATTATTCCTTGGTTTTTTAAGCAAGACTTTTGCTAAATCTTGAACAGAAGATGCCTTTTCTTCATATAAGAACAGTATCCGCAAATCGAGCATTAATAATTTTGATCCTTGGATACATTTAGGAAGTCGTGTGGGAAACTACCTTATAAAAATTGGTTTTTTGTAAAAAACGTTGTAATAAACTATCTTTTAAAGCATAAAATGTTGTAAAGCTTTTTGCCCATTTGAACTAGGGTTGTAAGAAATTCAAATGGGCAAATAATTCCCCAACTCATCATACAGGGGAGGATGTTGAGATGGAGACTGATATTCAGGCAAATGATGGTAATCCTGGTCCATTGAAATCTATTTCATATGTACAAGCGGCGGGGGGTTTAGGGCAAAGGATGAATCCTTTGTTCGACTCTGGAAATGAAGAGGAAGATCTAGCCTCAGATGACGAAAGTTGCCCTACTATCCTGCTGACGAAGGAAGAGAAGAGACACCTCCGGCAGCCGTGGAAGGATGCAATCATAATCAAGTTGTTTGATAGGAGACTAAGCTATGACCTTCTGGTTAAGAAGCCTCGGATGAAATGGTGTTTGAAGGGTGATATTGCCCTAACTGATGTAGGCCATTTAATAATCTGGCTGATTATGAATTTGTCATGTCACAAGGGCCATGGATTATTGGTGATAGCTACTTAACAATCCGTAAAGGGATTTGTGGCGGATAATGAACCAATCAAAAGCCTTACTGCTTGGGTTAGAATACCACAACTCTCTGTGGAATACTGTGATAAACAGTTCTTGCATAAAATTGGATTGAAAATTGGCAAAGTGGTGAGAATCGATAAAAAAAACTGAGTCCAAGGACAGAGGTCAGTATGTAAGATTTGGTATCGAAGTTGATTTAACTAAGCCACTTTTGTCAAAATTTAGAATGAATGGAAGGGTTTGGAAAATTCAATAGGAAGGGTTGAGACAAATTTGCTTCAAATGTGGAAAGCTAGGGCATAAGGAAGGAGAGTGTGACACTTTCGCCAAGCCAGTGATTGCGAATGATCAAGGTGGAGAAGTAGATGCCATTAAGAAAGTTGCAGAAGGGAATTTAGTGAAAACTCAGCATGCTAGATCCTAAATGCTGGTTCAACGCCCAGCTAGACATACTGCTTAGAAAACAATAGGAGAAAATAACTGGCAACAAAATAAGGCTGGGAAGGCACAACAGAGTGCTAGTAAAAAAAGGCAGTGGCAATAGCCCAAGAGGTGATAAGAAAAATAATGATGGTTCCAGATTTGCGGTGCTAGAGTTGGAAACCCATGAGTAGATACCAAACTGTTGGGATGGCAGAGGAAAAAGCTGTTAACTTGGCAGAGGACACTCATAATCAGGGTAACAGGCCTAGTGTCTTGGAGAAAGATCATAGTGATAATACTCAAGAAAATATGGAAATTCAATCAACTGTTGATTTTGGGTGAATCTTTAAAAGATAAAGATGGAAAATCACAGTAAAAAGATTGGCAATGTTATTCAGGAAAATGAAAGTATTTCCTCTGGAAATATTAGGGAAAAAGATATGATAAGATCTCCCCTTACTTTGTATACCAGAGTAACAGGGAGTGGTGCTAAGAATTTTATGAAAAAAGATAATAAAAAATCTAATTTTTCCTTACCCCTTATGATTCGCATACTCAACATGTCACGATTTTGGTGAAGAAGATAGGAGAAGACCCATGGCTTTTTTCTGCTATCTATGCAAGTCCTAACAGCACTTTGAGAAAAGAGATTTGGGCTGAGTTAGAACTTATCAAAGGGAGGTATAAGGGGCTGGTGATTTTAATGAAACTTCGAAGGACTCGGAATGAAATAGGTGTGGAGGTTCGGAGATGCAAAGGAGATGTAACGAGTTCGCGAATTGGATCGAGAATAATAATTTTATTGATTTGGGGGTGTTCAGGCCCCGATCATACATGCTTTAGAGGGACCTCGATTGACACCTTCAAATCGGCTAGACTCGATAGGGGTTTAGTTAATGAAGACTGGAGGATGCGTTTTGAGGAGGGGGCGCTTTGTAACTTACCTAGAACTGCCTCTGATCAATGCCCAATTTTAACTAGTACTAATGGTTTTGCTCCAATTCCATCAAGTTCTAAACCTTTCCGATTTCAAGCTGCCTGGATCCATCATGAAAAATTTGAGGAATTTGTGGTGTCGAACTGGAAAAATAGTGAGCCTATTATTCCTTTTTCACGAACCTTTGCTGAAAAATTAAGTAGGTGGAATAAGGAAATTTTCCACAATATTTTTCGGAAGAAGGAGGAATTAATTGCAAGGATGGCAGGAATTCAGCGTGAGCTTTCTAAGGGGCGCAATTCATATTTAATAAAGCTGGAGGCGAACCTGTGAAGACAATTGAGCGATGTTTTGGACCAAGAGGAAACTTTATGGTTCCAAAATCCAGATTATAGGCATTGTGTGAAGGAGATAGGAATACGAGATATTTTCATGTCTCAACTATCATCAGTAGGCGAAGAAACAGGATTGAAACTTTGCAAGATAGCACTGGCGAGTGGGTTACTGATCAAGATCGAGTGAAAAGTATGGTGTTAAGCTACTGGAGACACCTTTTTCAAGAGAAAAGTACTTGCTTCACCGGTACTAAATTACTGGATGATTATTTCCCCAAAATCGATGAGTAGGGGTGGAGGGATATTACGAGAGCCTTTGCTGATTGTGAGATTAAAAAAGCACTCATGAGTATGAAAGCCTGCAAAGCTCCCGGGCCGGATGGTTTTCAGCCTTTGTTTTATCAAAGGTATTGGGATATTGTGCAACCGAGTGTGAATAATCTTGTGCGTGATATCCTAGAAGGTAAAGAGTTTCTAGCAGGGTTGAATGATGCATTTCTAGTCTTGATCCCGAAGGTGGAGACACCTCAAAGAGCTAATCAATTTCGTCCAATTGGGTTGTGCAATATTGTGTACAAGTTAGTTACCAAGGTGATTGTCAATCGACTAAAACCCCTTCTACCAAAATTGATTTCTCTGACTCAATGTAGCTTTGTGCCGAAACGTCAAATCACCGACAATGTTATTATTGTCCAAGAGATGATGCATACAATGAGAAGGAAGCAAAGTGGAAAGGGTTATATGGCGATAGATGAAGATAGATTTTGAGAAAGTCGTATGATAGATTGCGTTGGAGCTTTATTAGAGAATCCTTGATGGAGTTCAGATTGCCCCAATTGGTGGTTGAGATCATAATGAAATGTATCAATTCGGCAAGGTTGCAAATCTTATGGAATGGGGAGCCAATAGAGAGTTTTAATCCGAGTCGGGGGATCCGACAAAGTGACCCTGGCCTCTATCTCCATATTTATATGTTATTTGTATGGAGAGACTTGCTCACTTGATAGATTTTGAGATTAGAATGGGAGCTTGGAAACCAGTTCGAGCTAGTAGGAATGGCCCTCAAATTTCTAATATTGCATTTGCCGATGATCTTATTTTGTTCTGTGAAGCGACTGTAGATCAAGCAAGTGTAATGAAGAGTTGCTTGGACAAATTTGTGATGTTTCAGGCAGTAAGGTGAGTAATGATAAGTCTCGGGTGTATTTTTCGAGTAATACCAATGGAGAATTACGCAAGGCTATTTGCAGGGAGATGGGTATGGATGAGGCGGATGATTTTGGTAAATATTTGGGGGTGCCTACAATTAATGGGAGGACTTCGAAACAGAATTACCAATATATTCTTGATCGTATTAACTCAAAGCTTGCGGGCTGGAAGTCGAAGGCGCTCTCTATGGCTGGGCGAGCTACTTTGGTGCAAGCCTCACTTGCATCGGTTCCCTTCTGCACAATGCAATCTACGAAGCTTCCCAGGTCAGTTTGTGATGATGTTGATCGGAAAGCGGAAATTTTTTTGTGGGGTGAAAAGGATGATGAGAGAAAGGTGCACATAGTGGCATGGAAAAGGATTACTAAGCCGAAATCGGAAGGAGGATTGGGGCTAAAATCTATGAGGCAAGCCAATACTGCCTTCCTAGCTAAATTAGGATGGCGTATGTTGGCAGAACCGGAAGTGCTTTGGTTAAGGGTGCTGAGACACAAATATTGTGATGGCCGGTGCGATGTTGATGTGTTTCGAGAATGAAGAGGTGCCTCCAATGCTTGGCAAGGCATTATGAGTAGTATTGATGTACTCAAAAAGGGGATTAACATGGTGGTGGGTAATGGTTTATCTACCATGTTCTGGCTGCATCACTGGGATACGAAGGAGCCACTTATCTCTCTTGCGGATCCTCCCCCACCTATAGAGCTACAAGAAGCTAAGGTCAAGGATATGTGGGATGAGAACGTAGGCTGAAAATTTGAAGAATTTGCGGCTTATCTACCAGCGAGTGTGCTTGCTGAAATTTCTTCTTTTGATTTAGTTGAAGATGAGGAGGCAATTGATGATATTTATTGGAATGGTTCGACATCTGGTAGATTCACCTTAGGCTCGGCAATACAAATTGTGCGTAATAGCCCCAACCTCCCTATTGAACAAATAAGGGGTTGGAAGCTAATTTGGAAGGTGAAAGCGCCCCAAAGAATGCGAATGTTTCTTTGGCTTGCTATCCAAGATCGTATTATGACAAATTGCAATAGATTTGTGAGGAAAATTGCTGCTAATCCTAGCTGTCAGGTTTGTGGTGCAGGGGAAGAAGATACAGAACATATTATCCGCAAATGTCCTCTTGCTATTCTAGTGTGGCATAGCCTAGGATGGACAAGTAACTCAGACCTGTTGAGCAGCCCTTTTCATGAGTGGATTCTAGAGAATATTGATGATAGTAACAGGCATGTTAGTGAGGATTAGCCTACAATCTTTAGTGTGGCTTGCTGGTGGATTTGGAAGTGGAGGTGTGCTCGTGCATTTGATCAAGTAGCTAAGATACCTTTCGATCAGGGTAGCTTCATTCTAGCCAGGGTTGGTGACATTAATAGAGCCTAAGAATGTAATGTGTTGAGGCTAAGGAAGCAACCAAGACAAAGAGA